TGTGGAACCGAGATGGAATGACTGGGCTTAACAGGAAGGATTTTCACCGATCGATCAATATAGCTACTTTTTTGGCTGCCGCCCAATCCCTAGGTAATCTCCCAGCCCTGAGGGACCCCTGATAGAGTGCGGTTATCGCGAGGGCGAGCACTTGGGCCAGTGGCCTGATGATGGCCGGATATAGCCCGTCGCTGCCGGCAGATTTGTTCATATTCAAGTTCTCCAAAACCTGGAGAACACAACTAGTTGAGACTTCCATATCACCCATTGGAGGGGTGTCTAAGCACTCTCATGGGACCGTACTTTCGTCGTCTATTTTATAGAAGGTTTCGATGTTCTCCTTGGGCGTCTCACACTTTTCACAATCTGAGACAGGCAGCCCACCTTCGGGGTTCTCCAGAATACCTACCGATTGCCTTAGTGCAGTCTTCGACTGCACATAGCCATAGTACCTCTTGGGTTCCTGGTACGCGCTCTTGGCGATTTTCACCTCAAAAGCCATTTTCACCTGGTTTACTAGCTTGCTAGCATAGTTTCTCGCTTTCTTATATTGTAGCCATCGGTCATGCCCTCGTGTGAGAACGAATGCCTTCAACCTACGAGCCCTTTCCCCTATGGCACGTTTAATGGCAGGCTTCCACCATTCCGGTTTGCGGGCATCATCCTGAGGNGACGCTTCTGTTCCCTGCGGGAGCCATGCTCTGGTCTGAGCATCTCGCCTCAAGTCCTCTATGTTCATTCGCCCGAAATTGCGGCACCATCTGCGGGGTGGCTTTTCCTTCACAATGCATGTTTCTGGAAACAATACATTGTGGTCGTTTTTACCAAGAGGAACCTCCTGCCTTAGGTCGTTGATCTCACTCTCTTGTCGCGTGAAAACCAGATCCAGGGTGGACGGTCTCTGCCCTAGCCGAATACGCTTTGTTTCTTTCACGTGCTGGTAGAGCGATGCCGCATGGAAGCAGTCCATGAATTCACGTTTTATGCTTGCCTGTCTCTCTCGTCTTCATACTCCCATGCTATTCCAGGTAGATTGAAATCCCCCACTATAATCGGCGAGTGATTTCCCCTACTGACTGCGGCAATGAGATTTAGTAGAACTCGATCATCCTCTTATCTAGCGCTTGGTGATCTGTAGACACCTAA